GACCCCCGAGGGCGCGTCGGGAGGGGCGTAGCTGGTGGCGGGCGGGTCGCGGGAGGCCATGCTCTCAGCCCTGCTCGGTCCGTGGCTCGGCGGCAGCTCGCCCGCGCCCGGAGACCGTCCAATATCACCTCCCGGCCGACACACCCATCGGACGTCGCCTGGGAGGGAAAAAAGTTCCAGCCGAGCAGGTCCTTCCACTCGCTGCAGCCAATAGCTCCTCGATGAACTGCTGAGCCCGCATCAGATGGGCTCTGCCTTGGGCTGGACAGGCGCTGGGGCGGGAGGCAGACCCGCGTCGCTTTCTAGGCCTTTCCAGCTGGGGAATTTTTGACCCCTGGAGCATATGGCCCCAAGGGATGCCATTCCCCTACCCCACCCTGTCCTTTGCCCAACCGTGTGCCCACAGTACAGGCTGAGGCTGCTTTGCCCTGACAAAGACCGTTTATTGAGGACATGCTATGAGCCAAGCCACCCCCAGACAACTCTGGTGCTGCCTCTTTTGCCCTTCTCCAAGTGAGGGGACTGACCATCGGAGGGCCAAGGTCACAGCTGATGACGAACAGTGCTGGGTCTTCCGTGGCCCCTCTGGCCTGCTTCCTCCTTCTCACTTCTGGGGGCAACCCTCAGCCCCCGACCACACTGGAGAGGAGCGATCCTCACTCCATCTCCACCTCGCAGGACTTGGTGTTTTCTTCTTTCTCTGGATCCCTCTCCATGGCTCTCCTTTCCTCTTTTCCTCACTGGGCAGATGGAGGGAAGTTCCCTGGGAGAAGACCACCCCAGAGGGCACCCTGAGAAGGGCCCGGCTGACTGGCTCTGCCCCAAGCCGAGATTCTCCTTCTCTTCCCGGCCCCCCTCCTAGCCCAGTGCCTGCCGGAGCTGGGCTTGAGGCCCAGCAGTTCCTTCCTGACTCTCCCTGCATAGCATAGGAGCTGGCTGCAGGGCTCTGACCCAAGCCAGGCAACCCCTTTCACACCAGATGGGTCCTGGAGCACAAGCCATTTTCCTCCCTACCTTCAAGGCAACTAACCTCATTTTTCTGCTCTCCCCCCCTCCCCCGCCCCCAAGGCCTGGCGTCCCAGAGTCTGCTCAGGATGTTTGGGGGGGTCCCTTCTCCCTGCCCTCTGAGGTCCCAGCAGGCCAGTTGGGAAGCCACTCCCTAGTATGGAGAGGATGTGGGGAAGGCTGCTGAAAGTGCAGGGGTAATTGGAAGAAGTCAGTATCCTAGCCTCCTTAGCAAGAACAGGGAATCTGGGGCCTGCCTTCAGGGACCCAGGTGGGAAAAGCAGCAAGTCTGGCCTGCGCCTGGTCTGGGAGAGCCAGGGGACAGAGGAGTTTGGCCAAAAGAAGGCAAAAGCAAAGACGCTGCAAGGAAAGGCGATCGGTGCCTCCCTAAACCTCCCTGCAACCTGGTGATCCCCGACTCCCAGGCCTGTAGAAATTAGCCAGGAAGGAAGGGAGGCCCTAATCCTACCTGCCAACCGGCCCCCGCCTTGGTTATAGGATTAGCCAAGAGAAACAGGCATTTCCCCAGGAATCTCACCTCCTGCCACCTCTCTTAAATGCTACAACGAAGTATTGTGCCACTCTTCTAGGCTGTAGGGTATCTTTGATTGACCACGGACAACATGGTATGGTGGGAAAAGTAGAAGAAAACCGCCTTTCTCGGGCTCATAGCTCACCTATGAAACGGAGATAATACAGTCCACAGCCACTCAGACTCTGAAGTTGAGAAGGTCTGAACCACTTCCACCTTCTGAAGCAATTAGAGTATTAAGAAATAAAGGTATGACAGAACGAGGTTATAGAAAATTTGCATATGTTGTATTTACATTTATCCAAGTAATGCTTTCGTATTAGGCCACAAAGTATAGTACACTCTCATTGGGCTGTTTATAAGAAAGCTGTATGGTTTATAATGCACCATAGGCAGCGAGAGCCCATAAGGGACAGACTCTTCACCTTCTGGTCCAGTTGATGCACTGCTGGGCCCGTGGGCATGACTGTGCTTGGACACAAGGTCAGAAGTCTGGGTGAGGCTGTGGGGAATGTCAGGCAGGCCTAGAAGAGGGTCTTCTGGACTCTTCTGCAAAGAGTCCACTGGTGTCCACCTCATGGGACCAAGAATTCAGTTAATCAATCATGAAAAACACACAAATGGTACTTAGTACTGTTGATTACTAATATGATCATGGGCTCTGTTTTTTCATTTGTTGGGGAAGATTAAATGAGAAAATGTATATGAAAACATCTAGGACAGTTCTGGTATACAGCAGATGATTAATAACGACTTGTTTATCTATTTCTAATCCTGAAATCATTTTTCTTCTTGCCATCTTTCCTTTCCTCAGCAAGACCAGCACCTCCTCTGTTAATATTTCCATAAAAAAAAAAACTGTTCTAAAAAGTTTGTAGTGATCTATAATACACTTACAGGAAACATGTATGAAACATACAAACCACAAAACCACTACCCTGAGCAAGAAATAAACCTTGCCAGACTACTTTCAATCATTTCTCCCTTCCTCCCCTGCAAATAACTACTCTCATGACTTCTAACCCTACAGATTGGTTTTGTCTGTTTCTGAATAGATTCCTTTGTGTGGCTTCCTTAACCAACATTATGTTTGAGAGACTCATTCATGCTATATGTTGCTATAGTTCATTCACTGCTGTATAGTATTCCATTGTATGACTATACCACACTTTATATAATTTGTTCTGTTGTCCATAAGGACTTTGAGCTCTTTCAATTTGGGCTTATTAATAACATTATTATTAATGTTCATAGAAGGCTATGAACATTCTAGAACATGTATATTGGTGCATCTATGTATGCATTTCTGTTGGGAATATCTTAGGGGTGGAACTGTTGATCACGTTATTTGTGTTTTTAGCAGATATCGAGCTATTTTCCAAAGTGCATCCTTTCTATTCCTACTAATAGTGTATACAAGTTACAGTTGTTTATAATTGGTTTGCATGTACATTATAATGCACTTGTGGTTGCATGATATATATTTTTTCATTCTTTTACTTTTCACTTACCTACATCATTATATTTATAATGAAATTTTTTTTCATAGCAATGATATATTTGGGTCTTTAAAAAAAGAAAACCTGACCAGCCTGAGCAACATGGTGAGACCTCGTCTCTACAATAAAACAAAAAATTAGCCAGGCATGGTGGCACATGCCTGTGGTTCCAGCTACTTGGAAGGCTGAGGCCAAAGGATCACCTGAGCCCAGCAGGTCGAGGCAGCGGTGGCTGTGAGCGTGCCACTGCATTCCAGCCTGGGCGACAGAGTGAGACTCCAACTCAACAAAACAAAACAAACCCATTCTGAAATTTGCTGCTTTAATCGGTGTCCTTAGACCATTTACATGTAATGTAAGTTGATATTTTGGGGTTTAGGTATACCATTTTTATTTTTTGTTTGTTCTGTATTTCATTCCTCTGTTTCTTTTTTCTTGTATTTTTGGGGGAGTTTTGGGGAATATTTCTAGTATTCCATTTTAATTTATCTATTGAATTTTTGATTGTCTCCTTGTTTTGTTTAGAAGATGCTCTAGAAGGTTCAGTATACATAGTTAACTTTCTAGTTTACTCAGAATTAATATTTTGCCTCTTCAAATGGAATGTAGAACCTTACCAGCATATAGGTCCCTTTACCTTCTTGTCTTTCAGTGTAGTTGTAATGTGTGTTAGATAAACAGAAACTGAAAATCCCATTAAGCAATGCTATCATTTTTGCTTTCAACCACTGTACATATTTTAAATTACAAGAAAAAAATATTTACTCAGATGTTTACCTGTTGCCACTCCATCATTCTTACTTTTCCAAGCTTCCTTCTGTTATAATTTCCCTGTCTGAAGAATGTCTTTTAGTATTTCTTTTAAAGTAAGTTTGCTGGCAATGAATTCCCTTAGTTTTTCTTTGTTTGAGAATGTCTTTAGGTTACCTTCATTCTTTTAGGATATTTTTATGGAAAGAGTTCTGGGTTGACTGGTCTTTTTCTTTCAGTGCTTTAAAAATATTCTTCTAGTATAGGGTTTCTGGTAAGAAATCTGCAACAGTATAAACTGCTGTTCCCTATATTTAATGCATTATTTTTATCTGGCTGCTTTCAAGATTTTGTCTTTAGCTTTAGTAGTTTGATTATAATAAGGCTGGCTACGAATTTATTTGACCAGATCTTGCTTGGTGTTCACTGAGTTTCTTGAATCTGTAACTTTGTCTTTCACCAAATTTGAAGTTTTCAGTCATTCTTTCTTTTAAAAAGCTTTTTTGGCATTACATCCTTTCCTCCTGCTGTGATTCAGACTGAACAATTGATAATGATCTATCTTTAAGTTCTCTCTTTCCTCTGTCATCTACATTCTGATATTGAGTCCATCAATATATTGAATTTTTCATTTTGGTTATTTTTTTATTTCTAAAATTTCAATTTAGTTTTTTTTGTGCATTCTGTTTCTATGTTTAGGCTGTCTATATTTCCATTAATTTCAAGAGGTTTTGCCCTTATTTTTTGGAGCATGATTAACAGTTTCTTTAATGTCTTAATTCCAACAACTGTGTTATCTTAGAGTTATTGTCTCCTGATTGCATTTTCCCCTTACAGATGTAGAGATTGCCCTGGGTCTTCAAATATCAAGAAAGTCCTGGACATTATAAATATTATGTTATAGGATTATGGGTCGTATTTAAATCCTATGGAGAATATTTATTTTGTGTTTATCAGGCAATCAGGCTGATTGGGTTCAAGTTCCTATCTGACTTCTCTGGGCTGTAGTTCCAATGTCAGCTCCATTTTTAAGGATTGGTAGTGCTATTTTGATATATTTGGAGACTGTGCTAGGCTTGGACCAATCTAGGTACCTGTTGCTCAGCTCTGAAATCCTGTGGCATTCTGTTTAGGGTCAATTTTGGGGTGAGTTCAGACATTCATGTAAGATTTTATGGGATCATTTTCTTGGGTTTTCCTTGCCATGATCTCCCCAACACTTTCTAGATCCCAGGAGACCCTGCTCTCCCACCCTGTCTTGGTCCTCTGGCTAAAAACCAGGGTTTTCATTTTCCTACTCTGCCATGCACTTCCTGTGATTGTGTCTTCAGGGTCAAAAGCAATGAGAGGGAAAGATACAGATATAGGGAGAGATTGTGTCTCCCCATGTACTTAGGATCACACTTCTTCTGTGAACTGTGGGTTCCCCTTCCTCAGAGCTCTAGGATGCCAGTTCTGTTGCCACCACCATTTTCACTAGATGGCCTAAGGGCTACAGCAGGAACAACTGGAAAAAACAAAAATAAATAGGGGTTTTCTATGCTCTCTCTGACCTATAGGAGCTCTTTCCCATTCCTCAGACCAAAAATAGAGGGTTCCTTTTGAAGATGTCTGTATCCCATGTACAGTTCCAGGTTTCAGGTGGCCTCTGAGTCCAGGTTGGGAGGTACCAGTGGAAGGAAAATGGGAGACTTAACACCAGCTTGGTAGTGTTTTGAATTCTGGCTTCCTTCCCAAATCTTCCTACTCCCACTTGCTTTTAGAGTCCCCAGATAGCTGCTCTATACTTTCTGCCCAGGGTTTTTTTTTTTTTTTGGCATTCAATGGGAGGAAGAGGGGGGATAGCCTTCTCTACCTGACCAAAGCCAAAATAACATCAGCCTGTTTTAATTCTCTGTAAGCACTTACAACAATTTAGTATATCTTATTAACTTATTCATTTGTATATTGTTTGTTTCTCTGCCTCTGCCTCTCTCTAGGATATGGACTTCAGGAGAGCCATAACTTTGTTCATGTGGCAAACCACAGTCATGTCTACCATCTTGAATACTGCCTGGTATACAGAAGATACCCAATAACTGCTTTTGAATGGCTGAATCTGCCATCTCAGTCACAAAGATTTTTGCGACAACTGCTTATCTCTTCTTTTTGCTCTTCATCCTCAAACTCTTTTCCCACCAATAGATGGCTTTACATATCTGTCAGAAACAATTTACTGGCTGTCTAACAAGGAACAGGCTAGAAGAAATCCAGAGATACTTAGGGAAACAGGCAGTTGTATCCATTAGCATTCTTTCAGTAGCAAATATTAGAAAAACCCATTCCAACAGGTTTTAACAACAAAGGACATTTATTACTTCAGATAAGTAAGAAGTTCAGAGGTAATAATGGCCTTAGGTGACACTTGATCCTGTGACTCAAACAGCGCCATCCCAGGTGGGACCAAGTTCCCAGGAGTGGCATATATGGAAAACTTGCTCCCTTTATGCTGTGGGGACACACATGCCCCACTGCTCTAGCCTGCTGTCTCTAGTTCACAAGACACACAACTAGATGCAACTATTGTCTCTACTAATCAAGGTCACTTCAACTCTCAAGTCGGGTAGGTAGAATGCACACAGACAGGCTCAGGAAGAGGTTGTAATGTTGTGTGTGTGGCCACGAGGCAGAACTGAGTCTGGCTCCTGGTATCTCTGGAGGCTGGGCATGCACAGCAGTACAGCTACCAGAAAAGAGGAAGGATTCAATGGGATAATGTTTGGATCATCCAGAGACACCTACTGGGAGAGGAGCTCAGAAAGCATGAAGACTTTTTTAATTCCCCAAAGTGGCCTCTTTGAAAGGACAAAGTTCTGCAAGGCTAATCTTTGCTGGCAAAGTCAGACACAAATGAGCAGGTTAAGGTCCAGTCTGTCTGTAATATGAAAAATGAATGAAACATAGACATACTTCCAAAGTCCTGAGTGTGAGCTTGTATTCCATTAATGATTTCCATTTTATATTGCTGCACGCAGACCCGCACACCCTCACTCAGTATCAGTCATCACTGAGTCAGAAAACCCTAAGCCTCCAATTTCCTGCCTGTGAGACAGTAAAGACCTTGATTCGCCATTCACTATTCTTATACCCACCCCTCCCCACCCAACTTGACTTCATTACTGAGTCTAAATATTGGGAGTTCACATAACAAGTCTGGGTTTTGAGGGACACAGTGTTATCAAATCCATGAGTTCCTGGGTTTCAGATGGCAGGAGTTCAGATAGTGAGGGATTCATCCAAAAACTTACCTGAATCTAGCTGGTCCCTAAGGTCAGACAGTGGAGTTTGGAGAGGGAGAGTTAAAATAGGAAGAAACATTGATATACTCATCACCAACTTTATGCCTGTCACAAGGCCATTCTCATTTCAGGACACAGTATGGTTGAAATTTAAATATAACAACATCACCAACAAGACACATTGATAGGCTCTCCTAGTCATCTGTGTCCCTCCTTCTTCGTGGTTGTTTTGTGTGATTACTGTCCGCCCCATGCATTGCGAGTTCAGATGGACAGAGATTCCATCAGGAATGCTCCACTGTGACCTCAAGGCCTAATGCTATGCCTAGAGCACAGTAAGTGCTCAACAAATACAGGGTTTTAAGATGTATACACATTATTGAATAAGTATTTCTTTTAAAAAGATGATGTATACACAAAAGAGCAAAACTTCCGTTATAATATGACAGTTACTTTTGGTTCTGTCTTTTTATTCAAGTCATCATGATGGGCCCACCAGATTCTATGGGAAGTTGAGGACCAGTCACTGCCACTGTCAGGCCACATTCTTTCTCATCTCACCCAAGAAGTCATAGGTCTGCTCTGAAAGGTCAAAAGGTTCATGAACTCCATCTGGCGACAGCAGAGCTTGAAGTGCACCCTCATTTTCTTGGTTTTGCTTGAGGAAGTCAGCAATAATTCTCCACCGTGCAGCCTCAGTCTCTTCCTCTGCCCACCTGAATGGTGGCAGGAGTGTTGAATGGAGCAGAGGGAGCACACAGTCATGGTAAACCAGGAGGAACGTGGACTTCAGGAACTCTTTGTCTCTCTGGGAAAACACAAATAACAGTGTTATTTTTAAAGTGTTAAATCCTATGAACTCTGCTAACTTAAAAGCTACCTAAGGAGTGAGAAGGAGGGTGCCATTAGTGGCTGGTAGGTAATCAGCTCTGAGCCAGATACTCAGTCAGGGCACAGCACCTCTGAAATGAATGTGAACAATAGTCAACATGGAGTGCAGCTGAGTGGTTCTCCCTGAGAGTCTCTAAGTGGCTCCGTGGGACCAGGGAGTCTCCTAAGGTCCACAGGTGTCTCACATATTCTGTCAAGGAAACCAGGGTACTGCAGTCTAATTCTGGTGACACTGGTATGGTTCCAGGCAAATATAACTAAAACAAAATGCAAAGTTGGCTGTATCTACCTCAATTGATTACAGAATATTGGAGATAACTGTCAAATTAGCTAAGAGAAGGGTAGCAGGCATCCTGCACAGGATCCAGAAAAAAGAGAACTAAGGAGTAAGAAACTATTGGTTTGCTTCCCCCAATGCCTGGGGGGGGGGTAGGGGGTAGGGGGGTGTCTTGGTCCCAAGGATGTCAGATTCTCCCTAGCTAATAAGAGTGGTGTAATATTGACAGTATCCATCAAGCTCTTTTGCCAGCAGACTGTGGTGGGGACCTTGGAGAGCACAGCAGGCTGAGGGCAGAGATACCTACACGCAGAAGAGCCTACACATAGATGTCACCCCTCCAACCCCACCACGCATGTGCACAGGGGCAGTGACTACAGGCCAGAGGCCTAGCACCTTGCCCACTGCTGGACTGGAACAGCACTACACCTGCCAATTTTGGAAAAAGGTCATGATTAGATTATACTGGTCAAATAAAAACTCCAATATGAATATAATATCTATACTTTCCCTCTCCCCCAATTTTTAGAGCTTTAATTTGTTCATTTTTCCATGTTCTTTGTAGATTATGAATACTTTAGATTAAGACTGGCAAACTATGGATTTGTGGCCTGCAACCTTTTTGTAAATAAAGTTTTATAGAAATGTAGCCATACTTGGTTGTTTACATATTGTCTGTGACTGTTTCTGCATTACATTAGGCAGAGCTGAGTTGTGTGATAGAGTCCGAGGCCTGCAAAGCCAAAAATATTTACTATGCAGCCCTTTACAGAAAAAGTTTGCTGAATCCTGAATTAAAGCAGTCATATCACTACTCACTGATTAATGCAAGTTCTGTTGGGTAATGAACATGCTTCTGCAGCAATGTATGAGCAGTGCTGTTTTTTCAATATATGAAACAGCTCAGGCCAATCTTCTTTTACCTTCTCCTTACCTGATGTAGACTTTGAGAGCTAGATAATTTTTTTTTTTTTTTTTGAGTTGGAGTCTCACTCTGTCACCCAGACTGGAGTGCAGTGGCCGCTCCCGGCCACCACAGCCTCGACCTGCTGGGCTCCAGAGATCCTTCCACCTCAGCCTTCCGAGTAGCTGGAATTACAGACGCGCGCTACCATGCCCGGCTAATTTTTTGATTTATTGTAGAGATGAGGTCTCGCCTGCCCAGGCGGGTCTCGAACCCGCGGGCTCAGGCAATCCACTCACCTCAGCCTCCCAAAGGCACGGGATTACAGGCTGAGCCACCGAGCCCGGCGATAATTTTTTAAAAAATAAGGTAAAATTGACAGCCAACTGAAGGACTTCAGTTTAGAAACTTCTCCTTCATTTAAATAAAACTCAGTGACCCATCTTGATCAAGTGTTTCTTTTCACATTAAGAAATGATCACATATACCCTTTTCAAAATATGTCTTTGCAAGCATAATGACAGTCCACCTGGATAAAAAGGATTACAGTTATGACTACTTTAGCTAAAAAAAAAAAAAAAAAAAGGAGGCATTATTAGAATGGGCAAGTAAACACTGAGCACTGCAACTATTAAGTTCAGTGGGGACAATCATATTACCTTCTCAGATCTTTTTAATGTATTTTCTTTTTCAGCCCATGAACTCTAAAAAGCAAGTAGAAGTACTACATTAGTCCAAGTATCCACAAATCTTTGCAATACTTCTGCATTTTTACTCTGTAATTAAACTTATGGACAGGTTAAACATGCTGTACAGATTCTACACATGCAAATAATTCATCTGTAATTAGATACCTATTGCTAACAACCTAGGACTGTACCGACTAGGCAGTTGTACCAAAGATATCATAGAAGATCATGATTAATATAAATCAAAACTAATTTAAGAACAGAATCGGTGAAACACTAACACATTCTTGCAAACTTCACAAACATAGTACCTGAACAATAAAATAGTACTAAGCGTTTGAGGTCAGACAATACTGAAAATAGAAAACACTGCCAAATACCACACTTCTCTACAATTCTGTCTTCCATGTTGATGACAATGATCAGAATGAGATAGACTGAAGTACAGTTTTGTAAGTAAATATTTCCAATCTGCCTTTAAGACTTCACAAAAAACTTTCTTTAAATAATGAAACACACACACACACACACCCAGAGTTCAATTAATCCCACAGAAGTATGAACCGAAGACCTTCACAGTGCCAGTTCCTGGCAAACTGTAAGCTTGGGATGAATATGACCAGTCTCAGGCTGCCCATTCCAGGATTTGGGTTTTGTGCATGTTTGTTAAGTATCTTCCTTTTGGTCTGAAATTATGGGTAACCTGAAAGCTTCAGACCTTTCTCAGTAGGGGGTGAATGTGACATATTGCACCAAGAGACTCTTCATGAAACAGTGGACGCACTGAAGGAGTTTCTCAACAGGACTTATTGTCTGGTAAAACTTGCCTATTGTTTGTTTCTTACATGGCAGGGTCACATGTACACTTAGAGAACTCATTCAGGAACAGCAAACGTGGGGGGTCACTCCTACTGCATCAAGATCTACTTTATTTCTTCTAGAGCAAACAGAAGACTACGCTTCCCAGCTCCATTGAAGTTAAGTGGACCACATGACTGGTTGTGGCCAAAGAAATGTGAGCAGAAGTGGCCAGGTTGCTTCAGGGCAAAGGCAGTGGAATGCTCAAGAACAATTCTCCACTCTCCCAGTTTTCTGGCAGGGGCATCTGGCAACAGAGGAAGCTACTTGCTCCAGATGATGCTGTGAGATAGTAGACGCTCTACCAGCCTGACCCCTAGGTGACCGAGGAGCAAAGTCTCCACAGATCATGCTAGACAGGTACCATGGTAAGAAATCAACCTTTGCCACCACAGCACAGTCAAGCTTATCCTAAGTAACACAGTGTGCCATGGAAAGAAGGCTCAGGAGTACAGAAACAACCACTCTTTTTTTTTTTTAAGTTGGAGTCTCACTCTTGTTGCCCAGGCTGGAGTACAGTGGCACGTTTACGGCCACCGCAGGCTCAACCTGCTCAGTTTAGGTGATCCTTCCACCTCAGTCTTCCAAGTAGTTGGAACTAGAGACGCATGCTACCACACTCAGCTAGTTTTTTTTGTGATTTATTGTAGTGATGAGGTCTTCACCAAGTTGCCCGGGCTGGTCTTGAACCCCTGGGCTCATGCAATCCTTTCGCCTCAGCCTCCCAAAATGCTGGGATTACAGGCTGAGCCACTGCGCCCAGCCACAACTACTCTTTTTTATTTTTATTATTTATTATATTAATAATTCACTATGGAAAAATTAAGAAAATCGAGATAAAATAACTCATGATACAGAGATATTCACTGATACCTTTCTGGAGCATATTCTTCTAGATCATTTCACAGGCAGATATGTACACAAAAATATATATATTTAGATATATTTATTATGCCTCAAGTGGGTTTTCACTTAGTAATATACATGAACCTTTTTACCCACTGCCTTTTCTTGAATAGCCTGTGGCATATCTGGAAGTGCCCAGAGCTGACCCGCAGGGGCAGCCCTGGCTTGCCACTGCTGAGCTCTATGGCCAGCTAGGTTACTGTACATCTCTGAGCTGTCTGCTCATCAGGGAAATGCAGATTTTAGACTAGATTAGGGATCTTACGGTTCCTCCTATGTCCAATGTTCGGATTCCTTGATTGTTACATGCCTAGGAATATATTCCTGTGGCCAGCACAGTGCCTTAGTCATAGTGGGCTCTTGTGAAATCCTCGATGAATGAATCAATGTACATATGTTCTGTATAGTAAATAAATATTATGATACTGATGACTTTACAGAATAAGAAAGAGAAATTCTGCATTATCTAGCTACAGAGTGAGATGAACTTACCCACAATTATAGGTAATCATATGTGCCATGAACATCTTCTTAAACCTCTGCAGAAAACATCATTGCTACTGTTGACACCTCCCATCCCAGCCAAGCCAGCACATGAGTCGGTTTTACGTCTAATACAAATCTTTGTAGATGGCTGGGTCATCCTTCCATTTCTGCTGTCAGGCCCATACAGACTTACTCTTATCAGCAGGAGTCACCCCTTCCTCCTGCACTTGTGCTGTTCTATCCCTCTGCACTGTCAGAGGATTTTGCCTAAAACAAAAACCCTTCCAGGTTACCCATACCCATCACACTTCTCACTCCCTGCACTGAGACTCAGACCTTGCCCATCAAATGACCACTCCCTTATGCACCTGACATTCCAAGCTAGATCATTGGCTCTTCTCAATACATCTCTATCCCTCCCTGCCTCAAAATATTTGCTCATGCTGAGCCTTCTACCTAGAACATTTTCACCCCATCTCAGCATATCAGAATCCTCTTGGCTTCAGCCTTTATTGGGCCCATCGCACCCAGGACCTCTCTAATGAAACAGAGTCTCTAACCTCCTTTGCTGCCATATTTAACTCCTCAAAGCCTTGGGTTACACTTCCCGCACTTGTCATCTTAACTGTGTATCTGTCTTGCATGCATACAACTCTTCTAACATCTGTTGACCTTGATGGATTAGATGGAACCATATGAAACCGCCATTTTGGACTGCTGACAGTGGCTGAAAACTGGAGATTTCCCTTGGGAAGTAACATTCATACTAAGATTGGAAGGATGAGACTGAATTAGTTAGACAATGGACAGGGGTTGGGAGACATCATTCTAGAAGCGGGTGGTGAACCCAGAGCAGGCAACAGAACTAAGTAAGAAAAAGTATGTGTAACTGCTTTCAGAACTCAGCAGGTTTCCATCATGATGCATGCTACCTACCCTGAGAGCATCCATCACGTCAGGCTGTTCTAAGAGCTTGGGGAAGGTAGCCAGCATTGGATGACTAATTAAATCTGAAATGCAAAAGAATAGAAGGAATCTTATGCAAACTTCAAGGTATTCTACTGAAATAGACATAAAAATACTCATTCAGCTTAAAATTATTATGCCAAATAATTTATTGATCAGATATTCTATACACTTTAACCCCCTCAATCTCCATTTGCCAGATACCCATATCCCAGAGTTTTGAAATGAGTCCTATACTAAATGACTGTTTTAGGGTGAGAAGTAAAGTGCCTCTGAACAGAATGAGACTAAAACACTTTAATCTTCTATGGTTTTTTTCAACCTCTTTTTTCTCCTTATGAGGGTAGCCCTGCTCTTGGAAGACTGAGCAGAAACCAGGAAGCACCAGGGGAAAGCAGACAGAAGGCTGGCTGCTGAGGTCTGGTACCAGTCCACCAGTGCTCAGGAAAGGACCCTGGATGTGTGTCTGGAGCCAGTAGACAGCAGTGGATTAAATCGGAAGGTATTAAGAATCGGGGATCCTGGCTATAGACTAAACACTGTGTAGGAGAATACTGGCATTTCATAATAATAATGGCACAAGAAAGACCACTGAAAAGAAGCATACCAGGAAGGACAGGACTTCAGGCTGCTTGTGCTACTATAACAGAATACCTGAGACTGGGTAATGCTGGATTTAGTATCTGGTGATGGCCTTCTTACTGCACTCTCCAGAGGGGAATACTGTCCTCGTGTGGCAGAAGACAGAAGAGCAAGTAAGACAAATTCCCTCCATCAAGCTCTTCTACAAGGACCCCAATCCCATTCAGGAGGGAGGAGCCCTCATGGTCTAATCTTCACTCAAAGGCCCCACCTCTTAATACGATTACATTGGCAACACCTGAATTTTGGAGGAGCCACATTCAAACCATAGAAGACACTTTTGAAATATCAAGGACAATCTATTCTCATTCTCTCTCTCTCCCTTCTCCCCCTCTTTCTTTCTTTTTGAGTTAAGATTTCCTTCTGTCACCCAGGCTGTAATATAGTGACATGACCACAGCTCACTGCACCCTTGACTTCCTGGGCTCAGGCTCCTGAGTAGCTGAGGCTATAGTTGTGCACCAGCACATCTAGCTAGTTTTTAAAATTTTTTTGTAGAGATGAGGTCTTGCTATGTTTCCCAGGCTGGCCTTGAATGCCTGGCCTCTAGTGATCCTCTCACCTCGGCCTCCCAAAGTGCAGGGATTATAGGTGTGAACCACCATGCCCGGCTTCTCAGTAGAGAAAAATTATTTATTTAGATATTATTAGTATTTTAAATTCTGTTGATTAAATTAAAATGAAATTAACAAGTCTGAGTAACCTACAAACTTCTCTGTATCCATGGGAAAAACAAATAAGCCTTATCCTCTTTAAGAAGTCATAGCATTCATGAAATTTTCCTAGCCATTAAAATAAAGGGCAAATGGTGATGAAAAGGCTTACCTGTCTTCCCCTTAGAGTTATAATTATTCCTCGAGAAATGTCTGTGCTTCTCAGACTTTGAGGTCCATTTCTACCTCCCTGTCTAGGTGGTAAGTCCCTGTGAGAGCACTCCAAGTCTATGAATATTACATGTCCACAAGTGGCAAGCCATCACTGGGCTTTCTTTTTCCTTGCTCTGCTCCATCCACACTGGCCTGCCTTCAACTTCAAGCCCTCCAACACATGCATATTCTCTTGCCCTGGGTCTTCAGACATGCTGGTCCTTTTACGCAGCAAGTATCCTTTCCCACATACCTCCACCATTGGTCTAATTCCTCTCTCAGGTCTCACCTGAAATATTATTTGCTCAAAGGAGCCCTTCCTTTCCCTGTACATTAACCAGGTCTTCTTATTGCATGCTCTCATTGTATATTTTCCTTCAGAGCACTTATTTTAAAAGGTTGGGAAGGATTATTCACATAATCGTGTTTGAGGTCTGTTGCTCCACAAGGTAGGGATGCCTGTGCCTGTCTCATTCATCACTTGGCCTAGCACAGAGCAGTCACTCAGCATATACCTGCTTACTGATTTACTGAATGCAATGAACAGCCAGTAAAATTAAACTGGTTTTCTTTTTGGAGGCAATTCTTACAACACATGCGTTTCTCTTTGCAAGTTCAATAATGTGTGATAACTCACTGATCTTTTAAATTATTTTTTAACATTTTACTTGGAAAAAATTTCAAACTTACAAAAAAATTGCAAGAATAAAAACAGCACACAGAACACCTGAATGCTCCTTACCCAGATTTACCGATTTTACCTAATCCATTAGATACTTACATTTCATGCATTAAGAACAAGCTATTTTGGTTTCCTGCCAAAAAGATGATATGCCCACCAAACGTGGGAAAAAACCAAATTATTCAGAGACATTAAGGGAAACTGTGACTTTATATCTGAGTTTTAGGATCTCAAACCTCAAGAATTTGAAATGTGAGAATGTGTACATTTGAAAAAAATGAGTATGTACTGAGTTCATGAAGCTCAATGTTTTGCATCCGAAGGTGTCTCAGAAACAATGTACTGACATTAATGCTATTCTAAATATTTATTCCAAATGTTCCATTACAAAGCAGAAGATACAGGTTGGCATAGGTTATCTTTACTCAAAGTATAAAGCATTATTGTGCATAAGGAAATGGCAAAGACTCCTTACCAGCACTTTGCAAGCTTAACCTGTCTTTCAGGAGCACATCTCCAAGAATTTGTCGATAAAATATCAACAAGTGAATGGAACACATACTTCCAATTAATGTTTCTGGTAGTAGACTATCAAAGAAGAAAAAAATAAATTCATAAGACAATCCAGCCTACAGTGTTTTATGCAAATTATTTAATAAACTGCTCCAAGTTTTACTTTATTATGGGAAAAAATTTTAACAACTTAAATGAAGATTTCCACTGCAAGTTGACAGCATTAAACTTCAGATACCTTGTATTTTTATGCGTACACTTTTAAGTCTCAACTTTTGCCATTCTTGTGCTTGCATATTAGCATGCACACCCATGCTAAATGTCAAATAAAAAAGAGAGAGAGAGAGAGAGAGAGACGGACTAAGGGAGGGAGAAAGGGAGGAGGAAGGGAGGAAGGGAGGGGTAGGTAGGTAGGTCATCAATTATATGTTTTGGAAAGAAAGGGACTAGTCACTACAAGCTGTAACAAAGGCATATTGCTGCCACACCTGATTGTGGTGAATACAGAGGAAATACCAGACTGTTCGCAAAGCTGAGTGAAACAGGGAAGGGTGTGGAATAAATCTTGACTTTGCCACTTCCAGTTATGTGACATTGAATTAATCTCCTTGGGCTTCTGTTTCCTCATTTTTAGAACATGAATAGTAGTAGTACCTGCATTTCAGAAGGTTACTAAAAGGATAAAAATGAGGTAAGTGTAGAGTGCTTAATGCAGTGCCTGGTATCTAATAAGGCATCTTATTTTTTAAAAAATTTCAATACTTAAGTCAAGTTGGTATCAGATGCTATATGTAATACCATGGTAACCACAAATAAAGTATCTATAGAATATACACACATGAAAATGGAAAGAGAATAAAAATGTTTCATTATGAAAAATCAATTAAATACAAAGAAAAGCAGTGAGGGAGCAAATGAAGGCCAAGAAAACTATAAAACATACAGAAATCAAGTAACATAAAATGACAGAAGTCCTTCCCTATCAGTAATTACTTTATTGTTTATTTATTCAATTTTTTTGAATCAGAGTATCACTCTGTCACCCAGACTAGAGTGTAGTGGCATGATTACGGCCACTGCAGCCTTGACCTGCTAGACTCAGGAGATCCTCCTGCCTCAGCCTTCCAAGTAGCCAGAACCACAGGTGTGTACCACCATGCCTGGCTAATTTTTTGATTTTTTAGGGGCTTTTGTAGAGACAAGGTCTTGCCAAATTGACCAGGCTGGTCTAGAACCCCTGAGCTCAGGCAATTCTCTTACCTCTGCCTCCCCAAGTGCTAGGATTACAGGCGTGAGCCATCACACCTGGCCAGTAATTACTTTAAATTAAATGGATTAAACGCCTCAATCAAAATATACAAATTGGCAGGATGAATTAAAAAATTTTTAAAAAATGAAAAAACAAACAGAAAACCCTGGAATCTATTTATTAAAAATTATGTATTTATTCTAACATTTTTAAACTTTAGTTACCTTCCAAGTACTCTCTGCTTGATGCAATACACCTACCAAGGTACTTTATCTGCTGCTCAAAACAGTTTTTGAACTTGTCACATTTGATGCCTTCTAATGCTCCTGCCTTTTTTTGTTTCACCTCTTCCACATTGGCAAAAGGTTTCCCATTGAGAACTTTTTTCATCCAGGGAAACAAAAAAAAAGTTGCTAGGGGTAAGATTGGGTGAATAGGGTGGGTTGAACATGGGGTTGGGTTGGTTTTAGTCAAAAACTGGGGAACACTCAGCACAATGTGGGCAGGTACATTGTCATGGTGGAAGAACCAGTCACCTGTGTGCCACAAAAAAATTCACTGAAGCCAAACACAGCCTCTTACAACATTAGCTGGTACACTGATGTCCATGTGTTCCTAGAACACTTACCTAGTGCGAGATGCCTGTACTACAAGGGGCCTGCCCTCCAAGAGATAATTCTCATTTTTTAGGGGTCTCCCCTCATATGCTATCTACAAGAGATTTACTGTAGACTCAAGACACTCATAGGTAGAAAGTGAAAGCATGAAAAAAGATATTCCATGCAAAAGTAACTAAAAGAGAGCAAAGTTAGCTAAACCAATATTAGACAAAATAGACTTTAAGCCACAAAAACTGTTACAAAAGACAAAGAATATTATGTAATGATAAAAGAATCAATTCATCAAGAATCTATAACAATTATAAACATATATGTACCAAACATGAGCCTTAAATTTATGAAACAAACATTGACAAAATTAAAGGAAGAAATACACAGATTTACAATAACAGTAGACGACTTTGGTACCCTACTCTCAATAAGGTTTAGAACAACCAAACAGAAGATCAATAACACTGTAAACCAATTGGACCTAACAGACATATACAGAACACTTTGCCCAACACATTTTCCTCAAATGTACATAGAACACTCTCTAGGGCAGATCACATGTTAGGCCACAAAACAAGTCTTAATAAATATAAAGAGACTGAAATCATACAAATGTCTTTTCCAATCATAATGGAATGAAACTAGAAATCAAAAGCAGAAGGAGAACTGGAAAATATACAAATATGTGGAAATTAAAAAACAGAAAACCCAATGACTCAAAGAAATCTCAAGAGAAATTAGAAAACATCTTGAGACAAATGAAAATGAAACACAACATAGTAAAAACTTATAAGATACAGTGAAAACAGTGCTAAGAGGAAAATGTATAGCTGTAAATGCATACATTATAAAAGAAGAAAGATCTCAAATCAAACAACCCAACTTTACAGCATAAGGAACCAGAAAAGAAGAACAAACACACCCAAAAAAGATGGAAGAAAATAAGAAAGGTTAGAACAGAGATACACAAAATAAAGAAGAAAAAAAAAACAGCAAAGAAAATCAATGAAAGCAAGGGCTAGTTCTTTGAAAAGATGAACAAAATTGACAAATCTTTAGTGAGAGTGACTAAGGAAAAAAAGAGAAGGCTCATTACAATCAGAAATAAAAGAGAGGACACATTACTACTGATTTTACAGAAATAAAAAAAATTATAAGAGAGTATCACAAATAATTGTTTGCCAACAAATGGGAAACCCTTGATGAAATGGAAATATTTCTAGAAAAACACTATCTATCTAGATTAGAACCATAAAGAAATAGAAAATCTGAACATAGTAATAACAAGTAAGAAGATTGAATCAGTAATCAAAAATCTCCCAACAAACAAAAGTTGGGCATCAGATGGCTTCATTGGAGAATCCTACCAAATGTCCAAAGAAGAATTAACACCAATCTTCCTCACACTTCTAAAAAACTGAAGAGGGAATCCTATAAACTCATTCTATGAGGTCAGCAATAACCTGATATGAAAGCCAGATACTAAAACAAAAACAAAAAACCCACAGGTCAATATTCCTGATGAATATTGATGCAAAATCCTTAACAAAATATCAGCAAACAGAATTCAAAAGCACATTAAAAATCTTATACACCTTGACAAAGTGGGATTTATTCATGAAAATATAAGGACGGTTCAACATACAAAAATCAATATAATATACTATATTAACAGAATTAAGGGGAAAGAACCCACATGATTTTCTCAATTGATGCTGAAAAAATACTAAAGTCAACACCCTTTCATGATAAAAACACTCAATGAACTAGGAAGAGAAACTCCTGCAACATAATGAAGATCATGTATGAAAGGCCCACTGCTAACATCATACTCATTGGTGAAGCACTAAAAGCTTTTCCTCTAGGATAAAGAACAAGACAAGGATCCTTCTCTCACTCCTTTACTCAATGTAGTAATTAAAATATTTTTACAAAGTAAAATTATTTCTTTTGCAGACAATATGATGTAGAAGTACTAGGATATACGCAGAAAACCCCAAAGATTCCACAACTAAACTGTTAGAATAAACAACTTTAGCAAAGTTGCAGAATACAAAGTCAACACATAAAAATCAGCTTTGTTTCTACACACTAACAACGAACAATTTGAAAAAAAATTAAGAAAACAATTCCATTAGCATCAAAAAGAATAAAATACTCAGCAATGAAAAATAGAAAAAACTCAATATTTAGATTTCAAAATAATTATCTGGAAACATGAAAAGAGAGTTATTTAAAACTTGACACATACCAAATACTTCCTGGGAATATATTGAGCATAAGAGCTGCTCTTAGAATATACTCAAGAAGGCCAGGCACAGTGGCTTACACCCGTAATCCCAGCACTTTGAGAGGTAGAAGCGAGAGGACTGTCCGAGTTCAGAGGTTCAAGACCAACTTGGGCAACTTGGTGAGATTAAAAAAAAAAAAAAATTACCCAGGTGTGGTGACACGCATCTGTACTTCCAGCTACTTGGAGGGCTGAGGCAGAAGGATCACCTGAGCCCAGCAGGTCGAGGCTGCAATGGCTATGAGCATGCCACTGCACTGCAGCTGGGTGACAGAGTGAGATTCCAACTTAAACACACACACACACGAAAATGTCTTGCATCCTTATATATATATATTTTTTTTTTTTTTTTTCTAAATGCCATTTTTAGAAGTCCATAAACTCTGTCACTAAGCATGAAGCACGATCATATAGAAAATCTCAAAAATCCTGCAAACAGCATGATGTCCTCTAATCAAAGAGGAAGATGCCTTTGGGCTGAGAAAAACCACCAAAGGTTAAAAAAGAAACACTAACTTTTATAAATTAATCCTGTATCTTAATTTCTTGGATGAGAATTTTAGAAGGAAAAATTATCACCAAGGTAATGTTCAGGCTTCCTGCCTGTCAGAAAAGACAGAATCAATATGACTTCTATGATGGTGTAAGAGCAATGGATTCCACGGGTTATTAGTTTCTTGGAATTAGATAGGTATCGTTGACCATTCTCTCAACCCTGTATTCTAGAAACATCCAAAAATGTAAGACAGGTTCTCTTATCACATTTATATTCATATACAGCATTTAAAATACAAAGCCAGAAATTGTCTTTTTCCAGTCCTACTTAAATTCAGATCTTGCATACATCTGTCCTAGATTTTAAAGACTACGGGACCATTTAAGCTGCTTCAGTACTACTGTATACCTTCTCAGAGTTCATGCTATGATTCTCAAACGTTGTTCTACATCCTGCCCTGTGGCCCATGGGCCCAGTGGACAGTGTTTCAGCTGTATGCCCAAACTCAAGACTCATGCTGAAAAACTGCCATTGATTTTGCCAGGGGAAGGGGTGGAACCTTCCTTCCTTTCATTTGGTCCTCTACTTTTCTTGTAGACTTGCCCACCCTGTCTGCAGTCATCGGTTCTCCTACAGTGCAGGCACTCCTTGCCTTCTGGCCCCTTTCCACAACATGAAGCAATGCTGCTTGGCCTTTATTAGGCTTTCTTTAGAATAATCTTCTGATTTTCCCAAACCCAAGATGACTAGGAAATTTCTGGGTTGTTAAAGGTTAGCTGAGCTGAATAAGTAAAAATATACTTCTTTCTGACTCTGGTTTCAGAAGTACAATGAACATAATGAATGGGCTTCAGGCAAGTAACATTATCACCCTATTAATTTTTAGCAATAATATAATGAAAATAAAAGAAAAAATTTATAATGCATCAAAAAGGCAAAGGATAATACATGAATAGCAAATTTATACACACACACAGCCTGCTTCCACTGACCAGGGCCTCTTGGTATTCAGGACTCATGCAGTGAGAGTATGGAAGTCAAATTCAGGGCTTTCCCTCCTCAGTGTTTCTCCTTAGTACACATGTCTTTGGTCAAATCACATCAAGTTAAACGCCTTTGGAAAACACCTCCAAAATTAGAAAAGCAGTCTTGGTGGAAGCAAGCATCTATTTGCTCCTTCTTTCTTCTCATGCTGACAGGGTCACCACGGTCACAACTGACTTCACAAAATAAGACTACTGAGCCTCATGGGCAGGACTTTGGTGTTGTTTCCTGGTAGAGGAGGTGGGTATGCACTGATTCACTTGCATTTTCTCAAATATCCTAATATCCAAAGGATACACACATGTAGGACTTCTGGCTGGCTGAGAGGGCCATATAAAGCCAAGCAAAATAGGTACTAATGCATACTCTAACTGGGCTCCTTGCCCTTGGCCCTGTCTCTGTTGTTATACACCCCTTGGCATAATGCAGAGAGCCCCTGTTCTTTCTCTGTTGAGCAGATTTGGTTAAACAGGTGAGGTTTATAAGTAAGGGAGGATAAGGATAGTGGTGGGATGTGCCTTTGAAGGAAGGGAGGATAAGGACTGTTGGTGTTAGTATCTGTCTTGTCCTCCCACCCACTGAAAGGTAGCAGGTCAGGGGAGAAGAGGATGCTGAAATGAATCAGTCCTGCCTCAGGAGAAGAGGATGCTGAAATGAATCAGTCCTGCCTCAGTATCCATCTCCTAGCACACAGGCTTAGAGGAGTGAGAGTCACAAGAACCCATGCTGGTGTCTAGCCTCTCACCTTGAACCTACAGCACTGCCCTCACATCATGGCCCATAAGGTTCACTGCCCATGGCCTGGTTTCTGTGAGAGTCAGTCTATGTCTGGGGTTGCTCCAGCAGTGTGCCCCACCCTACATTTGACATCACCAGGAGTGTATGTTTCAGGATCATGCAAAGTGCAGTGGCAATCTCAAGACAGCACTCGAGTCTCTTTGACTTTGAGAAGATAGAAGAACACATACCAAGCAAGGCAAGAGACTATAGGCAGCCGGACGCTGAGCAAAATTCCTGAGAAGTACACTTTTATACTAATTTCACAGACATTTTTCAGGTGCCTGTTGTGTTTTAGGTGCCTATAATCAAACAAGTGTCTCAGTTTCCGAGGTCTGGAGGACAAGGACTCAGGACCCTTAGAACACACCCTATAGAAGGGCATTCACTGCTTAAAAAGAAGGAGCTGTTTTGCTGACCTCTGCACAAAGCAAATTTGATCTTAAGGTTATAAAAAGGATCTGTACCCAATATTTGAAACCAAAGAAACATCATTAAGAGCTGTACTTGAAAGACATGCTTGGGAGTACTCTGGGACTCTTGGAGGCTTATCAACGAGAAGTAAGGGGGAAGCCAAAGAAATTGGAAGAATGAGACCAAACAGGATTTGGCTTTTCTTTTACAAAGACTGCTACTGTGCTGTTTTTTCTAATCTTGAAAAATAACAATTTTCCAAGGAAAGATTGGCCAAAAAAGGGAATTTACAGACTCTATGAACATCGGGGGTAGGGGTGAAACTAAGAGTAAATAATACCCATGAATACATTATTAATGGCTATTGAAAGATGTAACTGTTAATACTGTAGCTATAAAATATATTTCAGGATTATAGATAAGAACAAGGAATATTTAAACTAAGACCATGATCTGGAATGATAAAAGCAATCATTCAGAGGGGTACACTAAGTCTTCACTTACTTCCCTACTTCTTGATAATCTGTGAGCAATGAGCAGCAGGTCATGGTAGGACAGTTCACCTGCATCAGACAAACATCAGATAAGCCAGCGATACCACTCCTAGGTATTTGAATGAATACATGATGAATGTATCCACACACAGAAAATCTGTTTGCACATATTTAAAGCAGCTTTACTCATAACTGCCCAAACTTAGAAACAACCCAAATGTGCACCAACTGGTGAATGGATAAACAGTCTGTGGTATATCCACCAAATGGAATACAGATGCTCCTTGACTTTTGGTGGGGGTTACAACCTGATAAACCTACTGTAAGTTGAAAACACTGTAAGTTGAAAATATATTTAATACAATGAGCCTACCAAACATCATAGCTTAGCCTAGCTTATCTTAAACATGCTCAGAACACTTATATGACCCTACAATTGGGCAAAGTAATCTAACATAGAGCCTAATTTATAATAAAACACTGATTATATCATGAAATTAATTGACTATTGTGCTCAAGTATAGTTTCTACTGAATGTGTATCATTTCTGCACATGTGCATCATAAAACTGAAAAAACCTTAAGTCAAATAATCATAAGTCAGAAATTGTCTGTACTACTGAGAACAAAAAGGAACAAACTACTAACACAGGAAATGGTATCGGTAAATCTCAAATGCATTATACAAAGCAAAAGGAGTCAAACTCAATAGGCTACCTAGTTGTATGATTCCATTTATATGACATTTTGGAAAAGACAACACTGTTGGACAAGAAAACAGATGAGTGATTGTCTGAGGCTAGGACTGGGGAACTGACTAAAAAGGGGCATAAGATAGCTTTCTTATGCCCCTTTTTAGTGAGAAAAAATATTCTCTATCTTGACTGTGGTGGTAGTTTATGACCGTATACATTTGTCAAAACTCAACTGTAAACTGAAAAGGATAAATTTTACTGCATGTAAATTATACTTTAATAAACTTGACATTAAAAAGAAAGTTTGCAGAAGATAAAATTATACATTGGTGAGTCTCATAGTCAAAAGAATCCAAATTACTTCTAATCAAATCTATCATTGAGCTTACTAAATAAACAGAAGAGTAGGATAATCTACACTTTATTACTATTTCATTTCCCTCCTGATCTTTGGCAGAAGAGTTAAAGAGGAAAAAAATAACTGACAAAATATAACCAAGCAGGAGAAGAAGACAAAAGCAGAGACAATGTTGACAGATGTGTTAGCTCATGCCTGTAATCCCAGCACTTTGGGAGGCCAAGATGAGAGGATTGCCCGAGCCGAGAAGTTCAAGGCCATCCTGGGCAACTTGGCAAGACCTTGTCTCTACAATAAATCAAAAATTATCTGGGTGTGGTGGCACACACCTGCAGTTCTGGCTACTTGGAAGGCTGAGACTGAAGGATCACCAGAGCCCAGTAGTGATCCTTCAGGCTGCAGTGGCTGTGAGTACAACTGTACTCCAGCCTGGGCTACAGAGTAAGACTTTGACTCAAAAACAAAACAAACAGAGAGAGTCTACAAATGCTGAATGATCCCAAGTTAATTGGACAGGTAAAAGCAAGTAGGTACTAACCTTAAAGTGTCTTTTAATCTTCCATTCAAGGTTCTCAGTTTTACCAGAAGTTGAGGCTGCCTTCTCACTGTCAACATCTGATAGAAAAAACTGCCCTGTGCTTTAAAAAAATAAAATAAAAGAAATCAAAAATAAATCTCAAGACTTTCAGTGCTTAGAACAGTGAGTGTAATGAAATCAATATTTTATAAAAATATATCAACCAGTGGTGCTGAATTGTATGAAAGGCAGGAGTCACTCACATACCCCAATGAGTTGATAAAGTGTGATGTTAATGCCTATGGGCCTCCCTAAGGGTACCAGATTGTCTACTATAGCAGATGCTTTACAGCATCATTGCTGCCATATTACCAAGGGAAAAACAGGGGAGCTTAAAAAGCATGTCTGATTCCAGGTAGAACCAACTGCATCCCAGACCCCAAACTCCTTCCTGTTCCAAAATTGCTGGAAAAGCATTCAGGGGCAGCAGCAGTGGCATGTGTCCTGAAACACCAGGCAAGCAGAGGGGTGGCTGATGAACAAATATGGAGTTCCAAATCTTTCAGCCTCTGAACTCCATGAGGCAATGACCAAATCTGTCTTACACTCTATTTTTCCATTATCTAGCACAATGGCTGGCCAATGAACATATTAAAAGATGTTCAACATCCTTGGAAGGCAACTTGGCGTGTATATCACCATTTCAAATGCTGGTACCCTTTGACCTAGCAATAGGCAATCTCTAAATTAGCCTATTTATTAATTCTGTGCCAGTCACAAGTATCAGTCCAGTGTTCACTGAAAAGGAACTAATGCAGAGTCCTCCTCATTCTTCATGATTTCTTACATTATAGTCTCATATATGCTACCAAGAAAACAAGCACTCAGATAAAAATGATTAAGATTATAATATCAAATGACTTATTTTCTTAAATGTGAATTCAAGAAAAGTGTTATGCTTCTTAGAATACAGCTGTCCTCTCAGATGCATCTTCTACTCATATAATCCTCATGGAACAAAGACAACACCTGGAGCTATACCTCTTCTGGACACGGAAGGGTCCACTTCCACACCTTTTTCATAAGGAGTGCCACCATTCAAGAAGAGTTTATACGTTCTATGAGAAAATGACATACAATGACAGATACATGTTATGGGCATTTTGTAAATACTGGAGTTAGTAGTGAAATATTTTTTAGCATAAATATATACAGACATTTTATTTATGTATTGTTGGTGAGAATGATAGTTGTTGATCCCTCTGTGAGGTTCATCTCAGCAAATAAACACTCTCTTTTTCCTGACTAGAAACTGTACGTTTTTCCACATGAAAATGAGCAAGATTAACTAACTGAAGTAATTAGAGTGTTCGGGCTTTAATAACTTGTGTTAAAGACAAGTAATGACTGTTTTTTTCATGTATTTTGCAAATGTGTTGATCGTTACTTAAAATAAAGCCATTATGAATTTATATTACTTTTAAAACATAAAAGTAAAAGGTTTAAATGGCATAGAAATGATAAGTCAAAAGTGAATAATCCTTCCCATCCCTTCTCCCCTAGCTTGGTAAGTGTTCTTCTTCTACACAAATGCAAACAAATGCATAAACACAGTGAATTTCAAAACGAACACAGGCATTCTTTTGAAGTCATATACTAAGTGCAGAAAGCAGCAGGTAAAAGGCCCCTTTGATCCCACGGCACCCCTTCCCCAATTATGCTCCCCAGGGGCAACTTCTGCAAAGAGTTTGCCTAGACCCACCCATATCATCTAACAAATAGTTGTTATAAAACAAAAGAGGAGTCACAGCGTTCAACTACTCTACAACTTACTTTTTTCATACAATATTATACACTGAAAGTGTTTTTGTATTAATACAGCTTTCCCTCATTTTAAAAAATAGCTGTGACTTCATTTTCAGTAAAACGGAGATATACTTTTCCTTATTTCTTTCCCTAAGTACAACTAGAAATGATGAATATATTTTAAAAAATCAAAAGAAACTTGGGTTTCTCCTCCCATCCACAGTTACGAGATACATCTCCTCCCACTAGGGTGAAGTTGGGAGTAGCGGAGTCAGGACTTTTACCTCTGCCCAGTGGCAAGGAGACCATGTAAGGAACATTATCTAAATTAATCCTCACAATAAGCCTTTGGGGTTGGAATTATTATAATCCTCCGGATTAAAGACGGGGGAAATTCAGGCTTGGAGATGTTAAGGAACCTGTCTATAGTTATACAGGCAGAGCTGGGACCAGGATCCTCAATTTTGTAATTAAAAACTTGGGATCTTCTTTTTTTTTTTTTTTTGAGTTGGAGTCTCATTCCATCACCTAGGTTGGAGTACAGTGGCACGCTCACAGCCACCACAGCCTCAACCTGCTGGGCTCAGGTGATCCTTCTGCCTCAGCCTTCCAAATAGCTGGAACTACAGACACATGCCACCATGCCTGGCTAGTTTTTGTGATTTATTGTAGAGATAAGGTCTTATCAAATTGCTCAGGCTGGTCTCAAATCCCGGGGGTTAAAACAATCCTGTCACCTCAGCCTCCCAAAGTGCTGTGATTACCGTCTGAGCCACCGCACCTGGCCGACATCTTTTAAAATACCTATTTTATGTGTGTCATTTCTTCCCCTCCAGATGAGACTATACATGCTGTTTTCATATACTGTGTTAAACAACACTGAAATCAACATTAAAAGCCCTCTCCCCAAAAGTTACTGAAATGCTAATAGAACAAACCTGAGTTATCTAGAGTCTAAAAAATGAATTCTTACAAGATTATTCATTTGTAAGGAATATACAGCCAACTTACTTTGCTGGAATAGGACCTCCACTGGCATCAAAAAGTTTAAGAAAGACCCAGCCACAACTTAACTCTCCTCTTTCACCAGTTGACTAGGAAATAAAACACATATATAAAACTTAAAGTCTGAACTAATCAAATAAGCACATACCAAGTCCTTTTAAAGAAACAAAATTAGTATTCACCTTTAGAATTAAAAAGTTCTTCGCACAGAAATAAAATGAAACATAGAAGAGTCCCATTTTACTTGCAAGTCAGATATCAAAGATATTATGTCAAGTAACAATCATGTTTTGTCAAAATTGCTCTTGAAAATCCCTTAAACCGGATGATGTGACAACTGACAAACATTGTATGGAATGATCTCAAGGCACGTCAGCACTATATGCATGGGACTATGAAGCTCTGTTTCATGGATAGATGGAATGCAGGTGTTAATCATTCAAGGGCCTTTTTACTTGGAATTTTACCCTACTGCCAATTGCCAGATGCCCCCAGGGCTTGCTGGGATGGGGGGGGGCTGTGCCCTGTCTTACACACCCGTAATACATATGGATGAATTTTTCTTAAATAAATGAAGTGATAGTGCAATACCATTAATGTAAACTCTCTGTAATGGCTCTCAGGGTTATCACAGGGTCAGGTGTATATACTATACCTCTCAAGCTATTATGAGAATGTGGAGACATTTAATAACTAGCACAAACCTGTACTCACTGGTTCAACAGTTTATATAACATAGATTAACCCAGTTTCTGGTGTTCCCTTTATAAAAGTTACCACTCTGCCAGATCTCTCTCTCTCTCTCTTTTTTTTTTGGGGGGGGGGTTGGAGTCTCACTCTGTTGCCCAGGCTGAAGTGCAGTGGTACACTCATGACTACCTCAGCCCCAATCTGCTGGCCTCAGCCTTTCAAGCAGCTGGAACTACAGGCATGTGCCACATGCTCAGTTAATTTTTTTTTAAATTTATTGCAGAAATGAGGTCTTGCCATGTTACCTAGGCTGGTCTCGAACCCATGAGCTTAGGCCATCAATCCTCTTGCCTCTGCCTCCCAAAGTGCTGGGATTACAGGCGGAGCCACCACGCCTGGCAGATCTCTTAATTAGAATCCTCAGTTACAAGGCTAACTGAAATGGACCACAGCACCAGAATGCCACTAAATTTCTTTGCTCACTTTCTGCAAAGTCCCATCCTTCTCGAATCTTAGTTCTCTAAAAGCACAAAATTCACTCAAACTGTAAATACGATTAAATACCCTTTTATATTAAATGCTATTAAAAGCAGGAAATACATGTAAAATTAGAATCACTGCCATTCTCATTCCTTAAGGGATTAAACTTCCATTACACAGAAAAACTTCAATTACTTTACTTGTAAATACAGACTTTTAAAAAATCTTCCCTTTTAAGTGATACATTAGAAAGTCTTATCTTTCAACTGACATACATTGCGAATATAAGAAATTCCAAGTTCAAATAATATCCCAAGATCTGGAGATGAAGAATTGGACCTGATAAAACAATTACCATCGAGCAAGCATGGCAAGATGCGAGTAACCTGAAATGACAAAGAAACTGAAGTTACTGAAAAAGTAAAAATGGGAAGGGGGTTTAAGCCCTATTCATTAGTAAACAACTTATGCCTTTGCATTATAATAAAGGTATTTTAAGGAAAACAAAAGGCAGATGGATTGAATTCATCTATAACAATGATCTGAAATTTTTAAAAATGTAACTTTTCTGTTAAAGGGACATAACTTTACCTCCATTTACTCTTTGCTTAGAGTGGAGGCCAATATGAAACAAGTACTTTACCTAGGAGCTCAGAGGTGTTACAAAAATAGTTTTCATACAGTATAAGATATTTATATTAACCACTGTTCTTATAAACAGAACTAAATTAAAGACTGAATATACTTATTTGCTCAACTCTCCTGATGCATGCCTTGTAAATTTTCCTTTCCTTTCCCTTTTGCTCACTCCATCCCCTCTCCCTAGACAACCATATCCCCCTTTCTTGCCTGTAAAAGTCTATCCATCCTTCAAAGTCTAGTTTCTCTTCTACAAAACCTTCCCGAGCCCAAGGACTAGAATGAACTTCACCCTTCCATGTACTTCCAAAGAACTTAGAGTCCCATAACAGTACAATCTGCTTGAGTGATAGTGATCAACAGTACCCACCCCACAGGGTTACTTGAAGAATTAAATAAGATAAGGCACATAAGGGCTCAGCAGAGGGCCTCACACCTAGTTAGTGCTCCATAAATAGAGGATACTGTTGTTATTCACATGTTTTTCTATACTAACATGTAAGTTCCTGTACACACAGAAGAATGCCTTGTGCATAAGAGACGCTTCATTTCATTCAACAAAGTAACACATACTTATGATTTATCCCTCCCAACAGTTCATCTTTCTATCCCAGAAAAACATGAGAAAATTCTACCCAAACACTTCACAAACACAGTGATGCAGTATCAGAATTCTGAAGGGTTGCACCGAAATACAAGCCATGCTTCTCACTGGAGGCAGGGCACTCAGAAGATACAGCTGGACTTTTAGAGGTGAGCTGTATACAGTGTGGACACTCCAGAACACTAGAAAGGTAGCTCAGCCTCATCTAGAACCTGAGCTTCTCACAGAACCTCCATCTTGCTTTAAGATCTTTTGACGCACGAAGAGCAAGGGTAATTTAGAGTTTTTAGGATGCAGTCATATAAGGGAGTTAGCTATGGAAAGGAAGTAAATATTAAAGTAATGAAGCAGTAGAAAAAGTAACAAACTACAGACAATATTATAAAAATAATACAAGCATTTATGTAATACTGACTCACTGCTTTGAGCCCACCCAAGCTCATTCGGATCTTGATAGTACTTGGGTACAATGTACTAATCCCCTAGATATCACCTTTAATTTTATCGGAAGAAAGCACAGCACTCACTACCACAGTTGGAAGATTTGATTTTTGAAAAACACCTCACTTCCTAAATTTTATCTTTTTTTTTCCATGTTTTATCAAAAGGGCATTTTCTAAAATTGAACCCTGAAAGTCATCAAATGCGGTGATTCATAGGAATTATAACGTTTGTGAGTCAGACACATGAGTAATTTAATCAAAGACCTTAAGAAATACCAAGTAATCTAAAGATTTAAATCTGGTCCCACATATTCAATGCTAAATATGTTATATTTGGACAGTCTTATCTTAGAAACTAATTGCTTAACACTTAATAGATAAAATAAGTTCCTTCCTTACTCCAGTCTTTCAGGAGATTACTCACCTGGGGAGAAAAGGTCCACGTTTTGGGTTCTTTAGATTGCCATGTGGCTCTGACTGTGTGAATGTTGCTCAGAACCTGAAATGAGATTTTTGCTTTTGAAACCATGTTGTAGAAAGCTCTTTGAAACATTACCAACTTCCACATCCCAAAGAGTTAACAGTGGCTATGCTATGTGGGGAATATGGGGACGGGAGGGAACTTTCACTTTTTACTTCATGTAGTTCTGTAATGTTTTTCTTTTTAAATCAAGTATGATATAAATGAATTCAGACTTGAACCTTAGTGCTAGTAATAAATTATATTAAGTAAGCTCCTTAATATCTGAAATAGGTTTATCAAAAAGGTAAATGAAATTTTAGGTAAAAATGGCCCTTTAAGAGATGTGATCCATATGGGCATTTCATATGTGGTTCATTACTCTGCAACTAAGACAGACAATGCTAACAGCTATGATACAGTTAGATTTTTTTCCTTCAAGTTCTCTAGGCCCATAAGTTATAGTCTCCCTGTAATTTAAACTCTCATAAAATGTTATATGTAAGAAGTTCATCCTACAATTTACAGAAAATAAGACACAGAAATGGAACAAAAACATTATGGAATGAAGAGTTCACATTCTGTAACATTATGGCCAAAACTGACATTTTTCAAAAGATTGATGATTATAATTTTTATTTTAGATGAAAATATTTTAGTATAACACTTCTAAAACTGAGCTTTTAAAAATAATTTAAAATAGGCTGGGTATGATGGCTCATGCCTATAATCCCAATACTTTGGGAGGCCAAGGCGGGAGGATCACTTGAGCCCAGGAGTTTGAGACCAGCCTAGGCATCACAGCAAGATTCTGTCTCTACAAAAAGTAAAAAAATTAGCCAGGTGTGGTAGCATGCGCCTGTTAGTCCCAGCTACTTGGGAGGCTGAGGCGGAAGGATCACCTGATGCCAGGAGGTCTAGGCTGTGGGGAGTCATTGCACTCCAGCCTTAAGAACCTGACTCAGCCGGGCTCCGGTGGCTCAGCCTGTAATCCCGCGCCTTTGGGAGGCTGAGGTGAGTGGATTGCCTGAGCCTGCGGGTTCGAGACCCGCCTGGGCAGCGAGACCTCATCTCTACAATAAATCAAAAAATCAGCCGGGTGTGGTAGCGCATGCCTGTAATTCCGGCTACTTGGAAGGCTGAGGCGGAAGGATTACCGGAGCCCAGCAGGTCGAGGCTGCGGTGGCCGGGAGCGGCCACTGCACTCCAGTCTGGGCGACAGAGTGAGACTCCAACTCACAAAAAAAAAAAAAAAAAAAAAGAACCTGACTCAAAAAAATTAAAATAATCTCAAATGAGTCATATTAGGTCAAATTGAAGTCACTGCCCTCCACAGCCTTATTAGTAGGTATTTAGGAGTATTATGAGCAGCCGGTTGTTTTCCACATTAACAAAATCCCCTTTACTTTAAACAATTAACATATATTTATTTAAGCTTTTCCTGAAATAATGTATATTCTCAACCTGGACTCTTAGAGTACAAATTTCTTGTGATTGCTATCTGGTGATTACCACAAGCCTGTATTTTACTTATTCTAAAGTCCTTCTTGGTTTCCAGGAATGTTTTCCACTTCTAATACCCAATAAGTTCTTTGCTATCATAGAAATTGAAATCCTATACTATCTCTCACTAATCTTTTCAACTTAGAGAACCTTAGTTTTGAAGCTTAGATTCAGAAGTAACTGCTTCTACTTGATAATAGCATAAGTTTACTGATAAGAACTAAAAAAGATTTAGCCCAGCAATCTCACTATACATTTGAGAAACTGTAGCCAGAGAGGGCGAAAGACTGGCTTAGAATCATATTGCTTTCCGCACAAAACCAGGGCAAAGAATGAAGTAATAGAGAATTTTAGAAAACGTAGAGACATTTCATTTGGCAAACTGCATTAAGAATATCTAAGGGGCCAAATATGGTGCATGCACCTGTAGTCCAGCTACAGTGGAAGGCTGAGGAAAGAAGATTGTGTGGGCTCATGAGTTCCAGACCAGCCTGGCAACTACTTAAAAAAAAAAAAGAATGTACAAGAACTTCTCAACTGGTTATGCTCCAACATAGTCACTCTGCTCCAGACGTAAAGCAGTGAAGCAAGCAATAACAGTAAAAAAGATAGAGCAGAACTCAGAAGTAAGATGAATATGTCCATGAGCCACAAATAGAAGAGAAAAGCAAGAAGAGGGGAACACTGAAATCAGGGTTTTCCTGGGCTTTGAGTCTAGAAGGAGCATGTGGTGGCAAGGAACTGGATATGGATGCTACAGAGGCTAAAGGTACTCAATCCATGATAGAGGAATAGAGACAGCCTTATTGCTTGAAGCCAGTAGGGTAAAAAAATAAAATAAAATAACAAAAGTTGCCAACCATCCTCCTCAAAGAAAGTAGTAGCCTTAAGCAGATGGGACAAAGATGTAGTCACAACACCAGGACCAGAACCATGTCAACAAGTGGGCCTTTTAAGGAACTGATGATATCTCCAACCTCATCTTAGACTAAGAACCCTAGCCAGGTGCAGTGGTTTACACCTATAATCCGAGAGTACTGCCTGACCCCAGGTGTTCAAGACCGGCCCGAACAACTTGTCAAGACCTTGTCTCTACAATAAATCAAAAAATTAGCCAGGTGTGGTACTGCATGCCTGTAGTTCCAGTTACTTGGAAGGCTGAGGCGGAAGGATCGCCTGAGCCCAGTAGGTTGAGGTTGCAGTGGCCATGAGTGTGCCATTGCACTCTGGCCTGGGTGACAGAGTGAGACTCCAACCCAAAAAACAAAACAAACAAAAGAACTCTAAACTCCACTATAAGATCCAGTTCTGGACTGGGGCTGAGGGACATGGGGTACCACACTACTGGATAGAGGGAAAAGGTGCTGAAGGAAATAACTGGAGTTATAAAGGTATTTGAGGAAGCTGGGGTTGAAAAATCCCCAAGTTTGGCAAAGTTCTAAACCTATAGATTTAATAAGCTGAGTAAATCCAAACAGGGTAAACCCAAGTAATTCATGCCAGACACATCATAAACTCCTGAAAACTAAACACAAAGAAAATATTTTGAAAGCAGTAAGAGAGAAAGCATTTATGGTAACCAGTAGGGGAAAAACAACTTGAATGACAGTGAATTTCTCATTAGAAACCATGGAGGCTGGAAGGAAGTGGTGCAATATTTTTCAAGTGCTGAACAAAAACAACTGCTAACCCAGAATTCTATATCTAATGGAAATATCCTTCAAAAATGAAGAGGTAACAGAGACACTCTCAGATAAAGTCTAAGAGAATCTGTCACCAGCAGACCTACCCTATAAGAATGGTTAAGAGAAATTCTCTAAACAGAACATGGTAAAAGAAGGAATCTTAGAACATAAGGAAGAGAGAACAAAGGAAATAGCAAAAATATAAATACTATACATTTTCTCTCGAGTCTTCTAAATTGCGTTCAATGCTGTATGATATGGTTCTCAACGTATGCAAAGAAAATATTTAAGACAATTCCATTATGCATGAGAGAGGGTAAAGAATTAAAGGGAAGGTTTTATACATCATTCCAACTGGAATCAGTACTAGTAGACTGTGGTAAATTATGTGTGCATGAAATAGCACCTAGAGCAACCACCAAGAAAGTTAGCCAAAGAGATACAAAGTTATCCAAAGAGATACACTCATCAACTGCACTAACAAACATTATTTTTCATATGTACATATGCATACGTATGTGTGTGTGTGTGTGTGTGTGTGTGTGTGTGTGTGTGTGTGTGTGTATATATAGAGAGAGAGAGAGAGAGAGACAGTACCTGTTCAATACATCACATATTTGATATGTAGCATTAACAAAATGTTTCTCCATAATCCTAGTGGGAACTGATTTAATTCCTCAGTAAGCTCACCTTATAACCATCAAATAGACAGAGGCGTACATGTCTGCTGAGAACCTGTATGCCCGTTCCTGGAAGAGGAATCATTTTACATCTCCATAAAGTCACAATCAATGAAACACGACTTGGTCTTGACCTAATCTGAAAGAAAAATTAGTTATGAGAAAGTTTATTTTTATGATTTATAGCATAAACCCATCTTTTGTACATTCATTGAAGAAAACGTACATCGAATAAAAAAGGACAAAAGAAAAACTTCTACACAAATACACACATGAGAAAAGTTTTCACACTGTTCATTTAAAATTAGAACCAGTCATTTCAGGTAAATTTTTCAGTTATATTTGAAATGACTGCATTTTAATTAAACACTCAAAAACTGTGATAAAATGAACAGTAAGTAGTAGTAGGTAAAATGCATGACCTTATTACTGAATCACAGATTCTAGCCCCCAGGTTCATTCCTACAGAATGTGGGTAAGTGTAGAAGGTTACCACAGCATAATTACCAATGACACTTGGCATTAACATTATTCAGGTTTTTTATTGCAAGCAATTGTCTGCATTGTTCCCTGGTTTCCTATGTAGATGTTCTGACAGAGACACTGTTTGACGTACTTATTTGGAGTTACTTCACAGGTGTAGCTCGGATTGTGAATAAATAAATTGGCATTCTAGTTTTTTATTTTTTATTTTTGAGTTGGAGTCTCACTCTGTCACCCAGGCTGGAGTGCAGTGGCACACTCACGGCCACTGCAGCCTCAACTTGCTGGGCTCAGGTGATCCTTCTGCCTCAGTCTTCCAAGTAGCTAGAACCACAGGCACACGCCACAATGCCCAGCTAATTTTTTGATTTATTGTAGAGATGAGGTCTTGCCAAGTTGCTCAGGTTGGTCTCAAACCCATGGGCTCAGGTAATCCTCTCACCTTGGCCTACCAAAGTGCTGGGATTATAGGCGTGAGCCACCATGCCTGCCCTGGTTTTTTATTTTTTAAGAACTTCAATTAATGAAATTTTACATTCTACTTTATGGTCATGAACCTATTCATTTAAATAAGTTATAGTGTTACAAAAAATAAGACAACATCTAATGGTTTATCACCTTTTCAATTTAAGAAATGAGAGGTGTTCTCAGGGCACAAAATTACAAAGCCATTTAGTCAAGTACTAGTATATTAAATAGACTGAATTCAATATCTTTGTTGACTTGTGACAAAAGATACTTAATACTCAGAAGGTTCCTGGCAATATTTAGGTTAATAAGAAAAACGAACCGGGCTCGATGGCTCAGCCTGTAATCCCACGCCTTTGGGAGGCTGAGGTGAGTGGATTGCCAGAGCTTGCGGGTTCGAGACCCGCCTGGGCAGCGAGACCTCATCTCTACAATAAATCAAAAAATCAGCTGGGCTGGTAGCGCATGCCTGTAATTCCGGCTACTAGGAAGGCTGAGGCAGAAGGATCACCGGAGCCCAGCAGGTCGAGGCTGCGGTGGCCGGGAGCGGCCACTGCACTCCAAACTGGGCGACAGAGTGAGACTCCAACTCAAAAAAAAAAAAGAAAAACGACACTCAAATTCTTCACTACCACCCCCCACCAAAACCTGACCACACTGTCTTCTTACTCTTCCCTTGAGACTGTGGGGAAGGGAGGCAGAAAAGGAGAAAGCAAGTAGGAAGAGAAGTGATGTGCTCTAACGTGTTTATAACCGCTAAAAAAGAGGGGAGTGGATTAAATAACAGGTATATTTCCTACTTGAAATATTGGGATGCCAGGAGTACTTTCCTCTTAGCACTATCCAAAAAGTATGATCATAAAGTACTGCCAACATCCTAATTCCTACCTTATCAAAATAATGTTACTCCTCTTCCTCCTCCTCCTAATGATAATACTGGCTAACATTTACTGAGCTCTAATCATGTGCCAGGCATTGTTCTAAGCCCTTCACATATATAATGTAATTCTCACAATAACCCTATGTTGGAAATTATTATCACTCCCTTTTTACAAATGAAGAAACTGAGGCAAAAGAATGATTAAGATAGAAACCTAGTATTACTTCCTTTATAACAATGGGAGAAGAGAGCAATGGAGAAGAAAACCAAGACAAAGTCAAGGTAAGTAGTTTAACTTATGAAGTCTTAGTTATGAAAATATCACTGTTTCAAAATTGCAATATAGAAACAACTGTTTATTTTCTATAATGCATTAATCAACTGGCATGTTATTTGTCTACTTGCAGCCATGATGAAATCTGGTTTTACTGATAGGAACTCCACTTACAGTGCCAGCTTTAGTATCCCACAGCAGATCTCGGAAGGCCAGTTGTGAAGGCGTGAGCTCTGGTTGTAGGAAGTAACTTGCTTGAAATTGATTCCCTGCAAAAATCATTTTTCCTTTATTTTCTTACAAAATAAAAAGAAATGAAATTTAAAACAAAAAATCCATGATGTTATGCCACAGACTTAGAGAACAGACACTTTCAAAATGCCAAGCTGCTTACTAGGAACTTGCTTTCTAAAACAGATGCACCAATATAAATTTATGCATAAAAACAAGAGTACAAAACTTAAAGATAAGAAACACATAAAAGATCATCTTTAAGAAAGATCTTATAGCCTTTTAGGCCAACAACATGCCCCATGATGAAAACAATTCATTCCAATATATTTGTAAGCAGTTTTTGGAGATTTTAGAAAAAAATACATAATCATTAGTTTCACTTCTTAACCCAAAAATATTTTTATATCCAATTCCATACTTTAGTCATGAAGAATACTTATTACAAAACCATTTACACATTCAAGAAATAATTTTTAAGTTCCTTCTCTTGCTAGGTACTACATTAGGAGTTAGAAATACAAATGTGAATCAGAGAGATATGTTCCCTGCCCTCATTAGCTTACAGTTGAGTGGGAGAAAACAATCTTAAATATAAGGAGATAAGTGAATAAAGAAAATAATAATAAGAGCTGACTTGGAGTCCTAAAGGGTGCTCAAATGAACAGGAATGGGGGAACCTTTATCACTCAAGAAAGTCATCTCTGAAAAGGTGGAATTTACTCTGAGACCAGAGGGATGAGGAGGAGTTGGTCATTTGTGGGGGGGCTGGAAGGGCCTCCCCAGCAGAGGCAACCCCAAAGCAGCCCTTCCATGATACTCCAACTCAACCCAACTCAATTCAGGATATAAAGGAGACTCTTCATCTCCCAACATGGTGCCTTTTCAAAATGAGCTTATAGACAAAAGTTGCCAAGTACAGGGAAATCCAAGAAAGAATAAGGAAAATGAAAATGCCAAGTGGAAATAACTCTCTGGAAAAGTCTTACTTAAAGAGAAGCAGAGAAAAGGAGGCTTAGAATGGGACAGGGTTGGAGGGGCTGGCTGGAGGCAGTATTAATTGTACTGGTACTACAGATGGGGGAATGAACCAGTGCAGGGAAGGGGGCCAGGCTGGCTAAGGATACTGGAAAGGGCTGATAATTAAAGGAATCACATTTTTGAAAAAGAGAAAAGGGCTGGAACCCAGAGTGCAGGCACAGGTAAACAGACTGGCTTCTGATAGGATCAGAGATCATTCCTGTCATTGGAAGGACAAAGAAAAGATGAGCACTGAAGAGATGTGAGATTCAACATCTTCCACAGATTGTTTTGCCTATGAAGGAAAAATCAGATATAGACCTTGACTGTCAGCTAAAAGAGTGCTGTGACTGACAGGCAAGTATTACCTTCCTCTAGAAGCTGGGAGAGTGTGGAAGGCCTGAACCCTGCAGGAATAGCTCCCATCGTGGTTAGCACATCAACAGTGTCTATCTGCTGGAGAAAGTAAAGTAAAAATTAATTTGGTTGTTTTCATTTTCTCACCTCTGTAATACTTTCTCATTATTACTATAGCAACTATAACCCCCAAAAGGACAATACAAACCTACAGACTCTAGTGTAAGAATACTACAATTGAACCCCAAATTCCTATGAGGATGCCATCACGGAATCTTGGCCTCTCCCAAGGACTTCAGCCCCACATAGTGACAAGTGTTCTGTGTTCCAGACCAGCTGCTTCAAGTACACCTCATATCAACATGTACCTGCTCCTGTCCTGCTCCACAGTATGCTGCCATTTAACAGACAAGTTAATGGCTGTCATCAACTGATATGCACTAAAGAAATAATGGATTTTTATGCGTATGTATACACATACACACGCACCCCCACCATCACACACACAAGAATGTTCTTATAAGTAATAATTAGAAGAAAAGGTCAGGAGGAATACTTACTAACCAGTTCATGGTGATTACTTGGAGGGATGAGGGGAAGAATTTTCATTTTGCTTTGTAATCTCTTTAAATAATAGGATTATGAATAATTTCTTACTTTTTAAAGCTTTTCAGAATTTTCAAATAGTAAGTTAAATTTCTTAGTCTTCACACAAATGACAGAAAATTCAGATAGGACCAGTTAGAATGTGTCCAAGCTTTCAAATTATACCATAATGAGATTATCTATTCTTTTTATACAGAAGACCTCTTGAGAAAGGTCACTTGGAGCACAGCCTCACTAAAATAAAAGTATATGTCTTCTGTTCCACATATTCCATGCTCTGGGCCCTGTTTACCATCCAATGCTATCTTTCACAGTCTCTACCCAGCTTTGCATCTGAACTCAACCAGAACTCTCAGGTAACAAAAAGAGATATCAATAATAAGATGGAAGACACCAACCTCTGAGATAGCTTTTCGAACAGCACTCCAATGGGAATCAGTCCTGGGGAGACAAAAGCACAAGGTAAGTGTAGTGATGGGTTATGTCTAGTCACTCAACTAGGGAACTTCACCAAAGAACCAAGCACATAATTTGTTAGTAAGTTCTAAAAACCTAACCATCTCTAGATGAAACCAAACTAGAACTAAATGCACTAAAAAAAATTATACTATTAAAGTAGTAATGATTTTTAAGCAAAAAGCAATATTAAAAGCTCTCAAGATGCAAGTTGTCTCTATCTTACGAAATTATTGCATTATTTATAATATAAATAAATAAATAGTTTCCCAGCCCCACTTTGGTAACTTCTCACACCTCTATACCTTTGCTTAACTTCCGCCCCATCTGCTGTTTCATCCACGACCTCAACATCTTCTTCACTACTCTCTTCACTTGATTCTTGGCTTTCTTCTTCTTTATCATAGGGCTGAAAAAAATCATTGAAATGTGAAGTGTTTTCTAACTAAAGCAAAAAACAACCAGAAAAATACCAGTACTTTCAGAAAGACTGAAGCATAGATAGGAAGTTAGAGGCTCTCGAATCATCAAAGAAACAGAAATTAAAACTACACTGAGTTACCACCTAACCCCAGTCAGGATGGCCATCATCAATAACAAAAAACAACAGATGCTGGAAAGGATGTGAGGAAAAGGGAACACTTATACACTGTTGGTAGGAGTGTAAACTAGTTCAACCTCTGTGGAAAACAGTGTGGTGATTCTTAAAAGTTCTAAAAATCAACCTCCCATGTGACACAGCAATCCCCCTTCTGAGAATATACCCGGAGGGACTCTAATCATTCCACAAAAAAGATACCTGTGCACGCATGTTTGCTGTAGCACTATTCACAATAGCAAAAACATGGAACCAACTGTGCTTCCCATCAAAAGAGGACAGAATTCTTAACATGTGGTACATATACACAATGCAATATTACACAGCCATAAAGAAGGACAAAATTATAAACATCACAGCAACTTGGATGGATTTAGAGTCTGTAATACTCAGTGATATATCACAGAAAGAAAGAGCTGAATACCACATGTTCTCACTCATAAACGGACCCTGAACAATTATCATAATACTATAAGAAAGGGATTGGCAGTAATGGGAAACTGACGGGGGGGGCATACTTCGTCAATAAGGGTACCTGATCTCAACTCAGGTTTATAAAAAGGCTTATAAAAAATCAGTAGGAAAAGATTTCTAACACATGGTTGATAGCCTCACTATTAGAAAAAAAATGACAAGGAGTGAGGAAGACAACAAGTTTAATCAAAAATAAATTCCAGATGTAATTTATTCAAATGGAAAAAAAAGAATCCTCGAATCCAAGGGCTTTAAAAAAAAAAGAAGATAGAACTAAAAGAAATATAAAAGTATTCAAAGAAAGTAATCTTGAGATAAAGAAGCCCCTCCCAACTATCATCGCAAAACTAAAAATCATAAATGGGAACACTGATGAATTAAGCTACATAAAAAATAAATGTGGCCAAAAGTCAACAACAAAAAATCTAACACAAATTTCTAAAGGTTAAAATCATTATTATTAAAATATTATAAAAGCTCTTATAATCAAGAAGAAATAGATTTTTAAAACTCCCTTAGAAAAATGGCCAAAAGAACTGAAAAGGTGATTCACAGAAGAACTATAAATGGTCATAAAGCATATGAAATGAGTTCAACTTCATTAACGGGAGTGCAATAAATGCAAACAAAAACATAATACTTTCTTTGCTGGTCACACTGGCCAAAAAAAAATGTTTTTTGAGTTGGAGTCTCATTCTGTGGCTGAAATGCAGTGTCATGATCACTGCTACTACAGTCTTGATATTCTGGGCTCAGGTGATCCTTCTACCTCAGCCTCCTGGGTAGCTGGGACTACAAGCATGCGCCACTACGCTTGGCTAATTTTTTAAATTTAAATTTTGTTTTTTGTAGAGACAAGGTCTTGCTATGTTGCCTAGACTGGTCTTGAACTCTTGGGCTCAAGCAATTCCACCACCTTGGCCTCCCAAAGTGCTAGGATTATAGGCATGGGCCACCATACCTGACCTGGCAAAAATGTAAAAGACTGATAACAGCTACTGCTGGCAAATGTGTGGGGAAACAAGCACTCTCTGATGTTGGGAACAGGAGTAAAAATTGGCATAACTTTTCTAAAAGGCAAATTAGCGAAATAACAATGTAAAGGTGTAAACCCTTTGAGCTAGTGATGGACATGTAGGTATCTACCTAAGGGGATAATCAGGCAGGTCTATAAAGATTACAACACAAGTTGCTGGTTGGCTACCACCTCTTCTCCACCTCTCCTTTTCTAACAAAATCCGTAATTTCAGCAATAAGCCAGCTAAAAGACATTTTCCAAACCTTCCTTGCAGCTAGGTGTTACCAGAGAACTAATGCTGGTCAACAAGCTACAATTGGACGTTTTGTGGTGGCACTTCCAGGAAACTTTCTTAAAAAGGTTGCGGCTCATGCCCTTCGAATCCTTTCCTTTTAGCTGCCTGGAATCATTAAAAGATCCAGCAGCCAACTTAAAACTAAAGAGATAACTCTAGGAAGAGTAAGCCCACTCAGTCTAACTACTGAATAAAATAGTAGAGGCGGCCTTAACCAATCCTTGACTGCCTTCCTCCACACTTGAGAGCAATGTGCTTACATGTGCTTCTACCTTATTTAAATCACTTTGGGAGGTTTTTTGGTAACTCACAGGAAAGGCTAATTCTACCTTTTTGGCAAGATAGTTGATAGTGATTATTGGCTGGAAATAACCTAAATGTCCATCTAAATGAGGTTGGAAGACTTGTTGCCACTGAAAAAGGTGATCTAGACCTGCCCTGTACAATCCAGCGGCCCCTCACTACATGAACCTAGTGGGCTGTTAAAATTACTCCAAATTAAGTGAGCTATAAATGTAAAACACACTGGATTTTGAACTTAAAATAAAATAAAAGTAAAATAGCTTAATATTTTAAAAATACTGATTGTATGTTGAAATATTTGATAATATAAGATACATTATTAAAATAATTCCATCTGTTTCTTTTTACTTTTAAAAAATGTATATAATGAAAAACATGTATTTAGTTTTGTTTCTGGTTCCTGGCTCAGAGCTTCTAAAACCCTTGGAATTTCCTGAAAGATAGGAGTGTGTTTTCTGATCATGAGTCACTTTCCACCACTCCTGAGTCTGTGCTAATGAGGTGATTCTAGGTGGGTCCCTAGACAGCTTCAGGAAGGGGACCAGTTGCCAGAAGAAACAACCTTTAAGATGAGACAGGATCTGGAGACTGAGTTAATCACCAATGGCCAATGATTTAGTTAATGCAATTAATGAAACCTCCATAAAATCCTAAATGACAAGGTTCAGGGGAGGTTCCAGGTTGGTGAATACAGTGAGTTGCTGGGAGGGTAGCATGCCCAGAGAGGGCATATCAGCCATCCCCAACCAATACCTGGCCTTATGTATCTCTTCCATTTGGCTGTTCCTGCCTTACATACTTTATGACAAACTGGTAACTGCAAGTAAGGGCTGTTCCTGAGTTCTATGAGTCGCTCTAGTGAATTACTTACTGAACCCCTGAGGAGGGAGTATGGAAACTCCTGAATTTATAGCCAGTCAGTGAGAAGTACTGGTGATGCTTGCAACTGGCATCTGAAGTGGGGGTATTCTGGTGAGACAGTGCCTTTTACCTGTGGGGTCTGTGTTAACCCTGGGAGTTAGGGCCAGAATCAAACTGAATCGTTGGATACCCAGCTGGTGTTGGAGAACTGATGTGGGAAATGCTGCATATTTGATATCAGAGAAACCACATATTTAGTGTCAGAAGTGGTATCAGAAAAAAGACATCTCAATGTGGTCACTGGAAAATTTAAATTGTATGTGTATTCTGTGTTATATTTCTGTTGAGCGGCACTAATCCAAACAGGCATCTATATTTCTTGGCACAGAAAATGATCATGCTGTATTATGAAATAAGAAAAAATAGGCTACACACATCCATGTATAGTATGTTTACAGTTTAGTAAGGGGATCATATATTTGCAGAAGTTAACACAAAGTTAACTGTGGTTATATTTTACAGTGAACAACAGACACCCATTAATTGTTATGGTCAACACTGGTCCACAAAGCAGCTTTACTGTGAGACAACACTCTAGGGCTCATATGCATAGGAGCACTTTACAGGTCCCCAGGATCATTGCCACACAATATTTTCCCCACATCCTGACCCTCTAAAATTAAAGCAAATTCTACACCTCAATTCATTCACTAGTCAATAGGCAAAAGAACATAGCTAAATGTTTTATTACAAATGATAAATGGCTGGATGTGGTGGCTCACGCCTATAATCTCAGCACTTTGAGAGGTCAAGTCGAGAGGACTGCCTGAGCCCAGGAGTTCAAGACCAGCCCGGGCAACATGGTGAGACCATGTCTCTACAATAAATCAAAAAATTAGCCAGATATGGTGGCACGCGCTTATAGTCCCAGCTACTTGGAAGACTGGGGTGGAAGGATTGTCTGAACCCAGCAGGTTGCGACTGCAGTAGCCATGATTGGGCCACTGCACTCCAGCCTGGGGAACAAAATGACAAACTCAAAAATAATAACAACAACAACAAAGTTTTGAAAAAGAAAAGGAAAGCATAAATAATATAAAGACTAACCTCCAGGTAGGTTCTGGGAACAAGACCTTTGTTTCCTTTGGCATTCTTAGCTATCCACCAACCATCAGGTTTTTTTTCAATTATAAGGAGAATTTCCCCTTTCTTAAAGCAAAACAAAGTAAAACTTTTTAAATGAACTTAAATAATCATGAGTATATGTCCTTACCAATGATTCAAAATAAACGCAGAATAAAGGCAAAGTGTCTTCTTAATCCGATATTTATCCTAATTTTTATCGAAAGCTTCCCCACCACCCTACCACTAACCCTACCACTAAACCTACGTGATCATAAATGTGACTATACATTCCTTTTGGTTCCCTAACATACATTCAACCCATATATTCAAATAGGAACTATTTTTCACAATTATTTTTAGGGCCTTATACTTATTCCAGCAATTTGATTATTGTGTAAAATATTTTTGAATTCTTTTAATCTCACTGAAAAAATGTCTATACATGCATATAAATCCCCAAAGAAAATCAATTATATTAAAGTTAAACCCTATTTTGAAGCAAAAATAGCATTTACCAAATATAATTACCCACTAAATTAATCAGATATGTTTTGCATAACAGTCGTCCATTTATAAAAATACAATCCAAAGAAAATAAATAAAAATAAAAATAAAAATAAATAAAATAAAATAAAAATACAACCCATCTTTGAAGAACAAAGAATTTCCACTACTGAGGACATCCGAAAGCTAAGATTTTCCTAAAATATACATTGTTGTCTAATACTGATAGCATTTTCTAAGAGAATCTGGGAAAAGAACTAGGAATTAAACTGTACAATTAGTTGTACAATATTCTTGTGTATTTGTTATTAGTCAGTTACTAAATTTTGAAGTTGAATAAATATAAGAACCAAGATTCATATATTTATTAAAATTTATTTGGCTCATTTCTCCAAAAGAAAATATCATCTCAAATTCCTTTAAAAGTCATAACTTTATTTGTCTATCTCACCTGCCACTTATTTATACTCAGGCCAAGTAAGTATAGATACAAGCCCCTTTCATATATGGGTTAGTAGAAAAAACTGCTACTGATAACATAAAGTGTTCCCTTCTAGCTCCAGCTAGATACACTGCCTAACTCACCTGAATAAATTTATACACATGACATTCAAAAATAAATGACAAAATTTTACTGCTAAATTAGGAATTATCAACATTAAAGTTGCTTTCAAAAACCTTTAGAAGAATTTTAATAACAGAATCTCTCATTACTACTGTTTATAAATCATAACTACTACTTATTTATGGAAACAGATCGAGTCTTAAAAAGTTTAATCTCAGGAATATTTAATACAGGTGTACACACAGAGTATTCTTATTAGGTATGTACACTTTTTCAATCCTTAGATTAGGTTCTAGTCTTATTCTACCTACTTTAAATGTAAGATCTCCAACTTGCTGCGCTGTAAAATCTCCAACAGCGATGTAATCTTTATATGTTGCCTGTTTGTCAGATTCATTTTCCTCTTTCTCTTCCTCTTCTTCTGAGTCTTCTTCCTCCTCACCACATTCTTCACTTTCACTTTCGCCACTTTCACCTTCACTTTCACTTTTCCCACCTTTACTTTCTCCATTTTCATCTTCTTCAGCAGAATCATCATCTTCCTCTTTTTCAGTAAGTGCCCCAACTCTACAAAAAAGAATTTCTATGACTAAGATCACTTACTATAACATACAAGAACAGACCAAGTGTGAGTATAACATCTGTATATAGGAGGACTGTCCATATTGAGAGCTGGCAAATGAAAGAAACAAGGGTAAATACAACGAATGGTTTCTATCACCTAGCTAACAATATGTGACTAGAGAGACTGAAGACTGAGGGTAGAGAGCTGAGTCACGTATGTGAGATGGTAGAGTACACAATGGACATGAGACCAAGGAATTTGTATTCAAGTCCTGGATTCACTCATTCAACAACTGCTACACAGTGCCTAGGCACACGGGCTCTGGATTTAAATTCTGGCTCTATTACCCCTTCATTGGATGGCCTTGTGTAGGTTTCTTTTATGATTTCCATTGATAAAGCAGAGATATTAATAAGAATATGCCTTCTAGGTTGTCAAGAGGACTAAGACGAGGTACTACTTGCAAAGTGTTTAGCATAGTACCTGTCTATAGCAAGCTTTTCATAAAAGTCAGGTATGATGATGACAATGATGCTGTATGCCAGATTCCCTGTCAGGCATAGTAGACATAAAGGTAAACCAGACACAATTCCTTTCCTTAAGGAGCTTGAGATAAGACCATCTAGAAAATGGAGAATTATAAAATAATTCAATAGGTTCTACAGTAGAGGTATGCACAGGATACTAAGGAACAAACCACACATGAGGGACAACTCATCCAGGCTTCATGGGTAGGAATGAGAAAAGACTTAGAATTGGGTCTGGTGGGATGATTTGAATTAACCAGGGGGAAAAAAGAGAGAAGGTGGGGCAGAGAGAAGAGAAAGGAGTTTCAAGATCAGGGAACTTCAAGTAGCTCATAAACGGTAGTCAAGGATTAGGGAAAACAAGCAAGAGAAAAGACTGAAAAAAGTTGGGCAAAATGCATCCATGTGAGTTTTACCATTAAGACAATCCCTAAAAATGAAGCAGGGGAAGGGCAGGATACAACTTTCACTTTAGCAAAGTGACTAAACTACAACATGGGGAACACATAGGAAGAGCTAAAGGTGAGGGTGGCTATTAAAAGCGAGAAATGAGCAAAGCAAAAGAAATCATTAAGAGAGTAGGGAGACAGCCCACAGGAGGGAAAACATATTTATGAACTGCATATCTAAAAGAAGCCTAACATCCAGGATCTAAAAGGAACTCAAATGTGCCAAAAGGAAAAAAATCAGCCCCATTAAAAAGTGAGCAAAAGGCAGCCAGGCTCGGTGGCTCAGCCCGTAATCCCGCGCCTTTGGGAGGCTGAGGTGAGTGGATTGCCTGAGCCCGCGGGTTCGAGACCCGCCTGGGCAGTGAGACCTCATCTTTACA